ATGTAATTATATGCAACCCTGTAAGCGCAATTGTCTTAAAAAGTCAGGGCACTAATGTCACTGATTTTCAAAGCTTATTTATTCGATGAACTGATCTTTCGTGTTTGGAGTCAAACAAGTGCTCCCATATTAAGTACTATTTGATATACAACAAGATGTACAGCAAAGCTGGGTGTATGCCAAAAATCATCTCCAAGGGTCTGACACACCCAATAGTGTTTTTTCGTGAATTATGTCAAGTCTCCATTGTCTCATTACATTACTTTCATGCTTGAACATTTTTATTTTCCAATGCCTCAATAAATACAAACCACACATTAGTAGCTCAAGAGGAAAAGAAAAGTTCCCACACCAGATTCAAACCAGTGACCTTCAGATTACCACATCTGAAATGCTTGGGCCTAGGCTGAAATCTTACCACTTTGTCCACCTGCAACTGATGAATTATTCGTTAAGTACACAGTCAAATGCTGATTGATTGATGACCACCATAGGCTCATTCATATTGTAGGTGTTTTCTGCAGCAAATCACTCAATTTGCTCACCAAATGACTTGTTTTACTGGCCATGTTATCTACTCATGATCAATACTAGACGGGTTTATCTTCCCTTCTCTCCACTGAGGTGTGGAGATCCCTTGGTGCATTGGCTTGCATTGTTTGTTTTGAGACAAAGTTATCTGACCTGGTACCCAAAAGTCATCTGTGATGTAAGAGTTGGACAGGAATAATAATTATCAATATGTCCTTTAAGGAGAAAAGAACTTTGTAACCCTGTCCCAGGCATAGAAAATAATAAATTCCCAATAATGAGCTGAGCAATGATAGAAATAATCTTACAGTGAACTGAAAAGTTCAGTGGAATTCCTGACGACAGTTAAGTGAATTGTTTTGTGCAACAAAGCCTTAAGTGTATAATTACATCTACAGGAATGGAACTGTTCACTAGTACTGTTGTTACATCCATTTGTCATACTCAGAGTAATCTTTAGTCATTTTCATTTTTCAGAAATGAGACCTAAATGGTTTCCTATCTCAGAGGTCCCATTTAATGACATGTGGCCAGATGACATTCTATGGTTTCCATTCCTGTTAAAGGGACAGAAGTTTTCAGGATATTTTAAGTTTAAAGGACACTCAGAAATACTTGATTATACATTGGAGCCATCCTGTTCAGATTAAGTGATAATTATTTTTCAAGTTGTTTAATTAAGTAACTTTTCACCACAGTGTTTTTATTGTTAATGTTACGGTTGCATTTTGAAATAAGATGGTGTAAAATGTACACAACATCACATGCTTTAAAAAAAAAATGCTGCATGGCTGA